AGAAAACTTTAGATTAAATTCCAACATTCAGTCTTGGAAAGGAATTAAGACATGTAGCCAAAAGTCTGTAAACATCCAGTTTCTCTTGCTCTCAGATGTGTCCAAGACTCTGAATTGTGCTAGACGCCTGTGCACAGCATGGCAGGGGCTCTGTATGTGGGGCACACTGCAAGATTACACCCCTAAGCAGCAGGAATATGGCAAAAGTCATCATGTCATTTGAAACTGGAGAGCCCCTGAGGTGAGGAAATCAATGCAGAGCATAAAGCTGCAGGCTCTTAACCAGTTCAGTCCTTCTCTACAGGTATGTGCGCCAGGGCCTTTTGTCCTGTATCTCCTCCCTGCTCCTCAGCGTCCCTACAGAACGGATTCTGGCAGACATGACAGAGGAGCTGTTGGAGACTCAGTCCTGGCTGGGAGGTAAGACATGGTGGGGTACATCAGTGCTTTTCTGGTTAGTGGTGCAGTCTTTGTGCAACACCTCTTTAATTGTGAGGGCAGCAGTGATGTCCTGGCATTGTGCTACAGAGATCTGCATGATCAGCAAGTAGAGCACCATGCGTGCTGTAGGGATGCAGCACTGGGGTACCTGAGACATAAGCCAAGAACTGGGTATGGCATTACACACTGTGACTGTCCTCACAGGCCACCCAGAAAAATCCCCAAAGATAATCTATGCCCCCTTTCTCTGTCTGAGCAGCCACCCACCCACCTCATGAAGCTGCAGGAAGTGTTGTCACGTTGTTTGTTACACCCAGGCAGTGATTTTGGCCAGCAGTAACACACAAAGCTTGTATGGCTTGTTCACAGCATGTGTTCATGAGGGAGGTGTTGTTAGAGCTAAAAACAGGAGGAAGAGGAGCATGGCCTAGTCTCTAGTTTGCTATTGTCAGTGGAAAGAAAAAGCTACAAAATACAGCAAATCACTTTGAATGCCATACCCAGCACACCTTATGCCAACATAAGCTGTGTCTGTGGGTTCTGGCAGGCTGGAGCTGCACAGATCAGGCTCAGGTACTGCACTGAGCTGGAGGGAAAACAACTAATGCTGAAGCCTTCACTGTGTTCTGAGGGCAATTCTTGTGATTCTCTGGTCTGATTTCCTTCACCATTCTCACTCTCAGTGAGTCGCTTCCCACAGGGAGCAAGCAGGAAGCAACACTGACCCTGCTGGCCTCTGATCCTGGCAGGTTGGGGTGCTCTGTGCCCTTTGAAAGGAAGAGAGCTGCCATGTCGGGCCAAAGACTTCACTTTTCCCATGACATGATGTGCTCTCAGGAATTTGCTTGTTTCTGCATTTAACACTGCTGTTACCAAGTGAAGCCTTTCAGGAATGTATTTCCAGCATGAGGGTTTGCGTAGTCTGTTTCTAATAAGTTATTTTGGGGAGGAAGGAGGAGGATGACCAAGATAGTAGAATCTTCTCATGCTTGTAGGTAGTGTAATAGCTGTCTTTTCATCTAGTGCTTTTGCATGAAAGCTGCATGGTTATTCCTGTGGAAATGAGAGCAGGGTAAAATAACTGTTGTGGGTATACCAGAGAAAGGAAAACTGCTGTATGAGTAGTTCAGAAGCCTTAAAGAAATCAGCTTCACGTATGGTTGAGTGCAATTTAAAGGGCTTCTAGAGCTGCTTCCTGAAACACACCAGCTTCTTGGGCTGTGCCTTTGCTATTTATTGCAAGGCTGTTGGGGAAACAGTTGCACAGGGGAGGTACTGAGCCCTTCCTGCTGCTCCAACAGGTCATCTGGCACTAGAGACCTGCTTCTGTGACTGAATCACAGGTCTGAGCTCATGGACTTGGCTGTTGCTTCATGACTCTTCCAGATAAGATTTGCAAGAGGTGTCATGTATTAGCTGTGCTGTAGCTGGGAATGACAAACTGTCCTGCATGGGAGCCTTGACTACTATGCCTTTTAGCCACTCTGGGTTTCAGCTTAAAGCATCTGTATTTCTTCTGCCATGGCCAAAGCACAGTGATGAACAGTGAGATAGGAGATGTTAACATGAAGTGCTCAGTAGAAATCCACAGACCTCTTTCAGTTCATTGTTACATCAGGACCTCTGCAAACTGCTGTAGTGTGTCCTGTGATTGACTGTTGGCCATTCAACCTGTTGGCTGCAGCCCTGGCACTGTCTGCTTACTGGATGCTTTGGGACATATTAGCTACAGAGAAAGGCGAGAATCCACTTTGGAGTTGTCCATCATTGCCCTTAGTTGCCATGCTGGACTTGCTGTTGAGCAGCCTGATACTTCCCAGGGGAGGGAGGGAGTACCTAAACACTTCTAGGAAATGGTCCCTTTGATTCCTCAGCAGCTGCCTTTGAGGGAATTCCCCATCCCTTGCAAGTGCTGTGCAGCTATGTCATGGGTAAGTGTGGTTTGTGTTAGGACCAACAGGACACTGGTGCCTTGTGCCTCCCATGCAGTGCCAGCAGCGCCAAATCCATGCTCATGGAATGAAAACAGCACCAACAGCACTCTGAGCTTTTGAGCTTGTTCCAATCTGCCTTGTAACCTCCCTTTTTGCCTTCTGCAGAGGGAGTATGGAAGCACTAGGGTGCAGCTCTCCCTGCACTATAAATAGCCCTGCTTCAGTGACATGAGTCATGTATTTGGGCTGACAGTGCTGGGCTCCTAGCACACTGCTCGTGCGTACAGGATATCCTCACACAGGCTCCCTGCTCTTCCAGGCTCCCCTGCTCAGACATCCTGCATGCATCCTGGTTGTTACTTTGCAGGCCCATTAAGGGCCCCTGGAATAACAGCTGCTGGGAACAGCCTCACACTCCCCTTATGTGCTGTGGGAAGTGTGGAACTCATTTATCAGAAGACTGGTCTCTGAGAGTGAAGAATATGCTGAATCTTGAGGTCTGTCTCCTCCTTTCCCCATTGGAATGACATCATGACCCCAAATTCAGGAAGGAGCACTGACCATTTTAGATTGCAGGAATGGCAGAGTGGAGACTTAAGACTTTGGACAAAGTGTATTTCTAGCTGCAGACTTCATTCACACTTGTAGCTCACCTGTACAAAGCTTTTGTGTAGGTCAGGGTGACAAGTACAAATTCTGGCATGGAAATAATCCCATGGGATCCAAGGTCAGACAGTTTCTATAGTGTTTCAAACCAACTGACTATTTGTTTCTCATGGAAGACTGGAGCACTACCCCATGTGGCAGTCAGGACTTGGCTGAAATCATGCTGCTCTACATGACCAAGTTCATGCATCTCTGCCTTCTGGCTTAATGCAGTTCCTGCAAGTGCTGATGTCTAGCCCAGCTGTAGGTGCAAACACTGTTGTTTAGTTCTGTGATTGTCAGTAAAACAGTGAGAAGTGTTAAGGGCACTTTTTCCCATTTTCCAATAACAGTGGCTGTTTATTTTGCAGATGTGATGGAGAAAGACCCTGATGGGGACTGCAGAAGGCTGGCCCTGCAGAACTTGCTGCTAATGGAGAACCTGAAAAAGAAACTTGAAGTTGTTCCTTCCTAGCTGAAAGGTGACAAAAATGACCTTTACCTTGTGCTCTTTACAGCTGGATGTTGTTGGGCACTGCTAGGGCCTCTTCAGCAGTCACCTGGCTGGAGGAGAGGAAGAAGGGGGAAGGGTGCTGAGCTGTAAGCCAGTGAGACTGACTTGACATCTGGACTTTGTAGCGGAGGCCAATTGAGTGAGCTCTGGGTATCCGGTACAGCGTGTACAGATGCAGGAAGGTAGGCGAGTGCTGCCATCCTCCCGCACCCCCACCCCCCACCCCAGCTATTTATAACCTTGGCAGGTCTGAGCACTTGGCTAAAAATACAGGGGAGATTTCACAGAGCCTTCTTGTCAGAAAAACAGGAGGGCTGGGGAGGGCCACTATGACTTGCTCCTTACAAAGGCTCCCACATTCCTGTGCAGCTGGAGTTTGTGGGACCAGCTGTTGGTCTGCTGCTGGAAAAGGTGTATGGCATGGTGTATGGCAATGTTGATTCCATGGTGTATGGAATGGCAATGCTGGTGGTATGCAAGCACTGGATAACTACACTGAAGTGCTGAAAGTGTGCCAAACTTTAAAGGCCTGAGCTAGAGCTGGGCTGTGGTTAAGAAGGAATAAGACAGGGAATTTTTTTTTGTATAGTCTTAGTACAGCAGTTCCTACTAAAGAATAAATTATTTTCAGATTTTGACCTTAAAATCTCCCCAACCTTTCTTCCCTGAAAGCAATTTAGAAACTTCATGTTCACCCCAAGTTTTGAAGCAAGTCGCAAAACATGAAGAAAAATCATTCTAAGTGTAAGGGCTGGTTGGTAAGAAACATGACCTGATAACTACCACTTGGCAGGGTGACAGGCAGAGAGGTGACCAGAACCTTGGTTGTTACATTGAGCTTCACTTTTCTCAGTCCTGCTTGTGCCAGGGAAGAAATTGGCCTCCAAAAATGTGACTAGTACAGAGTGGCTTGATGAACTGGTGTTTGGAGAAGGAGCTTCGCAGTAAGAGAGAAGCTTCACTCTCTCAGAGTGACCCAGCTCGAGCAGGGTTGGACGAGGGGACATCCAGGTGTTCTGTGACTTCCAACCCAGGTGTTCTGTGACTCTGAGGTTTACCCCAGATGTCTGTAAGTGGTTGCTCAACCCCACATGACCCTCTGATGTATTTAAACACAGAAGCTTTTGTTGGGGAACCTCTGCCTTCAGCCTGCAGGAGTAGGTAGTTTGACTTTTAACCAAGCTCCTACCCATATGATATAGGGATTGTTTTCAGAAGGTCTCAATTCTAGGGAATCAAAGATCTGCACCATACAGATCAGAGTTGTACTTGAAAGGCAACTCACAATTTCCACCTCAAGTTATGCAGTTCTTCTGTACTGAGAAAAAACTGATGCAGTTCTTACTGTTTTTTTCTGCCTCAAATTTATTAAAATACTAAACCAGCTTTCTAACAGGATATACACGTGAATCACTGTATGCTGTGCTTGAGAGAACATATTAGCTCTAATACTGTTGCTTGTACAGTCAAGCAGGAAAAATAAATTCTTGGTAATAACCAAAAAGCTGTGTGGCAACAGCATATGACTGATCTGAGCCCCCTAATGAGGATGGAATAAATGAGCTGTCAATAAAGTCAGCTTTGCATTTGGTAAGTGCTCATTGTCAGGGGTCCTCCACTTCATCAGCCACTTCTTCCTCCTCCTTGTTGTCTGTGCTACCATGGCCAGTGTGTGTTGGGGACAGGGCTTGGCTCATGGGAATGCCAGCTCCTTGGTGCACGGTCTCCATGGTCTGTGGGGACACATAGTAGCTCAGATTTGAGGCTGGAATTCTCTTCTGCATCTCTTCCAGGTAGCGATAAGCCTAAAGGAATGCAGAGATCACTGTCAGAGGGCACAGTGCTACAGGGGTCCCAGTAAATGATTTCTTGTGCTTTGCACACTAAAAGTGAAGTTCATCGGTACAGCTGGAGAAACTCTCACTTGGCTCCTCATTGGAGCAGCAGGCACTGGACTGTTCAGGGGGTGTGTGACACCTGTCCTGAAGGAGCAATTCACTATTTCCTCAAATAACTGCCATTTTAGTTTTCTTCTTTGGCCAGGTGGCAAATGCAGTGTGGTGGCATTGCTGAGGCACACACCCAGACAGACCCTCTGTTCTCATTAAATCACTGGGAATGCTTAAGAATCTAGCACCATTTATGCTCTGTGTTCTGTGAGCTTTCCTTTTCTCTATTCCTCCCATAGAATGAAAAATATGGATAAAGTTTCTGAGCTGTGCCTCACCCTGCTGCACATTTAGGCTTCTACCATCTTCCTGCGTGAGAGCCACACTCCACCAAGCTGCACAGATGGACAATATGGATTCTGTAGGTTAGAAGAATTAAGACTTCACTTACTGTATGGAATTCCTCCACTTGTGCATAATGCTGAACCAAAAATCCCAGGACATCGCCATACCGGATGGCATCGTCAAAGTCCTGTTCAGCCAGGAGCAGTTCACACTGCCTGACTGCTTCTTCAGTGTCTTCAGGGTAAACTCTACGAAAGGGCAAAAGGGAAGTGTCACAGCCGAGGGAGAGCACTCAGCCTATCCATCCAAGGACAGGGAAGAGTTTTTAATGCATTAGGTTCATGACAGAAGCCCAAACAAAACCCAAAAAAAACCCTTGTCCTGGGGCTGATTGGCCAGTGTGGGCAACAAGGTAAAGGGGGATATTCTGCCCCTCTGCCCTGCCCAGATGAGACTTCCACCTACAGAACTCCGTCCAGCCCTGGGGTCCCAGCACAGGCATGACATGGAGCTGCTGGAGTGAGTCCAGAGGAGCCCATTAAGGTGTTCCAAGGGCTGGAGTCCCTCTGGAGCCAGGCTGGGAGAGCTGGGGGTGTTCACCCGGAAAAGAGATGGCTCCATGGAAATCTTAGAGACCCCTTCCAGTGCCTAAAGGGGCCCCAGGAGAGCTGCAGAGGGACTTGGGACAAAGGCCCTGAGGGACAGGATAAAGGGGAATGGCTTCCAACTGCCAGAGGGCAGGGATGGATGGGATATTGGGAAGGAATTGTTCCCTATGAGGGTGGTGAGGCCCTGGCACAGGTTGCCCAGAGAAGCTGTGGCTGCCCCTGGATCCCTGGAAGTGTTCAAGGCCAGGTTGGATGGGGCTTGGAGCAACATGGGGTAGTGGAAGATGTCCCTGCCTATGGCAGGCTTTTGAAACAAGATGGTCTCAGGTCTCTTCCCACCCAAACCAGTGATTCTGTGATTTTATGATAATTACCTTTCTGGCTACACCTCCCTTGGTCTACATCCTTCTCTTTCAGGTTACCTTTCCATCTTTAATGCAACGTTTTAAATGCACTTTTAAAAATCACATTATGGTTTCCCTGCTAGACAAATGTGCCAGCAGCTTTTTTTTTTTTTTTTCAGCAAGCTGCAAATTATTTATTAAACTTTAGGTACTATTATAACTTCTGTTCTGGTATGATATTTCTGTTGCTTAGTTTCTGTGCTCTCCATGCTGCAGCTCACCTCTGAGCATGGATGAACCGCTTCATCAGACTCATCCTGCTCTGCAGGTGTCTGAGTTTGCTTTCCTGTTCCACAGGGCTTCTGGCCTTTGCTTTGGAAAGGCACTTGTATGCTTCTGTCAGTGCTCTGTGGGCTTTTTCATAATTCTGATACTCATCGATCTCTACCTGCAAGAGGAGAAAGGAGATGGTCTTGCTCCAGAGCTAATAAACCAAACATGTTCAGCAGTCACAGAAAGAGCAGTACCTGAGCACATGCATCATAGAAACCTGCCAGGAGATCAAGGGCCCCTCCTTTGGTGTAGAAGCTGATGATATTTGCAATAATCTTTGCATCCTTACGCCAGTCCAGTGACTGCAGGTAGTTGGCTGCCATGATATAAATCTCTCTCTGTCTGGAAACTCCCGCAAAGAAGATAATTTTCTCAGTATCTCCAGATTTCAGCAATGCCCTCATAGCCTGGCAAGGGAAGTAGTGGCACAGAGGGTAAATAATGTGAATGCAAAAACACCATCAAGATGGCTCAAAAGTTTTACCTGGGTAGTTACTGTAGGAAGTCTTCTTCAAGGTTTACTTTTCAAAACACCCTTGTTATGAGGCTATCCAGGCTGACCTTTAACTTGTTTCCTGCTTGTGTGTATTTCTTGGTGGCCATGTGGTAGTTGCCTTGTCTCATGCAGCAGTCGGCAATTTGCTCCAGCAGCTCCCTCCGGGACTCCTCTGAGAGATCCTGGGACTCCTTGGAGACTGTCATCTTCTCAGCCAGCTCCTCAGTGATGGTCAGATTCTGCTCAAGGCACAGCTGGAGAGCTTCATGGTACTGATGGGAGCAAGAGAGCAATAAAATGTTGCAAACACTATTGTGATACTTCACTTTTGCTTGTGGCGTAACCTACAGAAATCAGCTACAAACACAGACAGCTGAGGATGCTCTGTCTGGAGCACTGGGCTGTAGTTATGTGTCTCAACATCAGCCCCTGTTCAGGCACACACAATCTCATTTTGTTTGCTAAGAACATGTTTGCTCTTATGACAGTACAAGTATGCCAGTAAAGATTCAGCCATTTTGATTCTGAACATGAGATTTTTAGAGACATACAAATGAGGTTTGTTAAGCATGATCAATGATTTTCAGCAAATACAAATAAATTGAAAGATTTTGTTAAATATTTTGGTACTCCCATATAGGAACAAATTCTGAGTAGGCTATACAAAAGCTTGTAGTCCAGAAAAGGGCTACAGTACCCTTGCAAAATGTGAAGAAAGCCAGCCATAGGAGCTTGTTAAGGAGAAGTGATCACAGGACTGGTCTGGTACCCAGCATTTTGGGAAGGCTCAGCTGCCAGTGCCCCTGAATCACTGGCTTAAGAGGAATCTTGAAGCTTTACAAGTGTTTCTTGTATCTGTTTACCTGCACAGATGAATGGCTGTGTGCAGGTACACACCTGTTGTGCTCCTCTACCTGTGCACAGGGGACCAGAGGGCTTGGCTCACCTTCTTGGCCGTGAGCAGCAGCTCCATTGCCTTCTCATACTGAGCATGTTCAATGAAGAACCCAGAGCAGCGGGCGAGCAGGGCTGGGTCAGACTTCTCATCCAGGTCTTCAGCAATGAGCTGTAGGGCCCCAAACTGCTGTGTGGCAAAGGCCAGCTCCAGGGCTTTGGAGAAGTGCCCTGCCTGCAAAATTAGGAATAAGGCTTCAAAGACGAGTGAGCACTCCAGAGCCAGTTCTCAGGATGCCTTTGAGTGGCTTAATAAAGCATTACTCACCATAAAAAAATGACTGATAAACAGGACATAATAAGCACCACAACTGATTTAACATTCCTCTGCTGTAGGAACTGCTTCAGTGTAAAGTTTGGGAGTTTCTACTAAAAAACATTTACCTTGTGGTATAACATAACAGCTCTGTCCATTTGATCCCCCTTTTCCTCATAATAGCAGGCTGCCTCTATCATGTCTTCTGGTGAGCTCAGGAGAGCCAGGTTCATCAGCTGATCATCTAAATTATTCGCCTGTTCAAAAGCAAAGGTTTGGCTCTGGGTGTGCACACACAAATTTCATAATTCCAACTATTGGCAAGCCTGTGGCTTTATACTGTTACATAGTATTAAACTGTCACCCCTTTCGTTGTAAAACCTCTACAACCCAAGTGAATTTCAGCATTGATTATGATTATTTCTTTGAGGGAGTTTCTGATGAGCTGTTCAAGAAAATACATTTCCAAACCACCAAGACTTTATTGATCCATCTTTGGTAGCAGAGGTCAGCAGAAACCAGGAGCAGCTTAACCATGGGCTGTCCAAGAGCAGGCAGCGTCTTATGGGAGGGAATGGGCGCGAACACCTTGTACCACCAAAGAGCAGAACCCTGTGCTGGTGTGGGTACACTGTGCCTCTCTGCGTACCTTGCACAAGCGGATGGCGTTGTTGAACGCCTGGGCCCGGCTGTAGAAGTGCACAGCCTGCTTGATGTCCTCCTGACTCTCGTACTGGCGTGCCAGGTGATAGGAGGCTGCCCCATTCCCCGTTTCATTTGCTATTTCAGCAGCCTGCAGAGGGAATTGTACAGCTTTACTTCATGTCCATGCTCCTCCCAGGATTGAGAACTCTGGAAGCAGGTGGAAGCAGACTGCCTTACCTTTTGAATGTTGCCTTGAAAGCAGTGGACACGGACTAGGGAAAAATAATCCTGAGCCAGTGCATAGTATTTTAATGCAGATTCCATGTCTGACTGGCTCTCCAAGTACTGTGCCCACCACTTCCACAGGCTCCTGGAAAAGCAGCAATATTAATTGCAGCGACAAGAACTGCCAGATGCTGTTTTTAACTCCTAGAGAGCTTGAACTAAAGACTGAACACACTTTTTAGAACATATGCTTTACCCCAACCAAAATGTGACACTCCCAAGATCAGCACTATACAGGAAGTCAGCCTGGATAACCAGCATAACCAATCTTGAGCATGTGCAGCATAAACCTGAAAAGCTGTTGGAGGGTCATAATTGATAAGGGAGGGGTTGAATGAGACTGAGGAGATTCACTCTGTCGTCCTCACTCTAATCACAAATTGTATGTCAGATCTGACAGCTCCGTATGGAAGGAACAAACATAGCACTGACTTGTCTTTCATCTTGTTGATGTAGTTCTCCAGGGCTTGTAAGTCTTCAGAGAGCATTCGAGGTACCTCGAACCTGTGTGTGTCTGACTCTTCATAGCTGTAGAGAAGAACATATTAGATGTGAAATGACAGCCTCCTTATTAGCTCTCTATGTGTGAAATACACATTTAATCTAGTTTGGCAGCCATCAGCTGACAACACTGGGAACAACTACTTCAGCTGTATAAGTAAGTTCACTGTAAGACCAGCAGTCCACCAGCACCATCAAAAATCAAAAGTTCAATAGTACTGCTAAGCACTTGGAATTAGGGGGGTGTGCTCTTCACAGCACAGGAAATACTTTAAAAAGTGCCAGTGATGGCCCAAAGAAGTATCCCAGAAAGTTCTCCAAGCATCAAGCACACCTGGCTGGACAGGTCACAAATGCCTCAGGCTCCACACTGTACCACCCACTGCGACACCAGCCTCTGCCACTGCTGAGAGGTCACTGTCCCTACCCCAGCACCCACTTCTCCTAACCCCACTGCCCACCATGGCCATCAGTGGGTCTGTCTGAGCACAGCAGAGCTCTGCTTTGATTCTGGACAGAATTGACCTTATTGGATGATGATGATGATGATGATGATGGGAACTTTCATATTGGAAAACTCCTAAAAAATATATCAAACAAGAAATACAAGACATCAAAAATACCCTCCCCTAACTTCTCATGGGACTTAACAGCTACAGGAGAGGATCAAGCACCAGAAGCAACCAAGTCAAACTAAATTCTGCTTCAGCAGTTGTATCTGGGACTCAGGAAAAGCAAATAATTGGTTTTGTCATGGAAAAGGAAGGAAAGATGGCAGTGGTCTTCCAGAGATAAACACAAGACTGGGGTTTACACACGAGAGTAGGGTTTAACTACTGGCCCTGACAGACTTGACCTTTTAGACACTACACATTATTTGCATGGGTGGATGCTGGGAGGTTTCACTGAGAATGCTTTCACTCTGTGAAATAGAAGGCACCAGAAACAGGAAAAGACTTTAATTAATTTTTACTGGTCATCATCAAACATCTTCCTTTACCCATCTCCACAGAGGAAGGAGGCTCCCAGTCCCCCATGTACACCCAGCTGGTGCTTACTGGGTGAGTGCCAGGCACTGCTGCCCGGTTGCCTCCAGGTGCTTCGCGTAGTTGTAGTGGGTGGTGCGCAGGTGAACCCGGTCATGAGCCTCAGCCGTTTCGATGGCTTTCTGCCACTGGTTGGAGGCCTGGTAGAACTTGTTCAAGAGGTCATATCGTTTGCAAGCCTTGTACAGCCGCTCTGCATCCTCCTGGGAGAGGAACACCCAAAATCCCCGTCAGCCCAAACCACACTGTGTGTCAGTCACATCAGGCACTGCATCTTGAAGCAGTTTATTAGTGCAGGGCACTGCAATGCAATTAAAGAAACAATCATTCAGGCAGAGGGGTTAACCAACTAAATATATGTGGCCTGGGATAGCATGTTATAGGGAAACAGGATGAGTATGTAAAAATAAGGAAAGCATTCAGATCCTGACATTTATTGTACAGGACTGACTGGGAGGGAGGGGAGTGACACAAGCAAGTCATCAATGATCAAATGCCGTCAAATCAGGAGTGTGAATCACCAAAAATGGAGACATGCTTAAGTGGGGATACAGCTACCGACCCTACTGCCCACCCAGGGGTGAGGCTTAGGAGAAAATCCTGGCACTCAGGGTTTGAGAATTAGGATACTGCGAGCCAGGGAACCCCTGTGACCTCCCAGCAGGTCTCAGAGACAGCAATGCTGTTCATGGACAACTGAGCTCCATTCCTGGGAATAAACGTTACTAATTTATTACAGAATTAGAACAGGAGGGTTTTGCCAATGCTGATGCAAGGGCAAGCAAATTTGGAACTATTATTTTTATTCTCTGAGAGGTACTAACTCCCGTGGAAGGAACATTTTCCTGCTCCACCCAACTGCTGTCCAGCTGAACACTATATTTAGTAAATTGGGATTATCTGTCCAAGACAGAAAACTGCTTTCTGTCTCTTATTGTTTTGAATTTTAAAAAGCACAGAAAGTGGAAAAGGAAGATGCCTGCCCTAGGTTTCTGTATGAGATGAAAAAAAGCAGTAGAACTGCATTTGTTTTGCTATAGTTCCCTTCCACCTCTCCAAACAGATCCAAATATCCAAGAGAAGAAGCACTGACACTTTTCAGCCTCATAGCTTTCTTTGCCAGGAAGCCTTTACAAACGTTTAGTTTGAATTTTCCTTTTTTCCTTACCTTTAACTCAGAATAGTTACTCTCTGTCTCTCTCTCATACTCATCAAATAATTATAGATTGCTGAATACCTTTTCAAGCCAAATTCTAATTATTTGGCCATTTTCAAGACTTCCTTTTCTGTGAAGTCTTTCCAAGAGCTGAGAAATTTGCACTTATTTTCTCTGAACCTTTTCCAGTTCATCAACTTTTTTTTTTCTGTAATGAGATACTTAAAGGCTGGAAGTCATCATTCCAGCTGTAGCTGCACTGAATACACAGTTACCAAATCCAGGCCCCAGCCTGGGTTTTTCTCCTCAAACATAGCCCCAAACTGATTTTTGCTGTCATAGCACCTTGCTATTTTTTATCTAATTCAGTATTTCCTATAGACTGTGGGTTATTCCATAAAGTCCTTCCCAATTTTTCCCTCTAATGGATCATATGCCTGGATCTCCTATGGTTCCCAGACTAAAAATTTCTGGCTTTCTTATGGATCATTGCTGAAAGTATTAAATTAGTGGAATACTAATCCTACTCTAACTAGCACCAGTCAGTTTTCAATCCATATGACAATGCTGGTCTCAAACCCAGCTTAGATCTCAGTTCTATTGGCAATCAAGGGGAATGAAGTCAGACACAGTGTCCACTTTGGGGTGTATTTGTTGCCAGGTTGGGTTCCAGATGGAGGAACAAGAGAGTTGTTCCATACACCAACCCTGAGGAACAGCCAGATATTGTCCTCTGGCTGGATCCAGCCAAGTTCCTGCTCACACTGGGAGAAGTCAGGACAGAAATCTGGGTGATTAAGCATCCCTGGGACAGCACAGGCAATGAATGTGACTGACCAGAGCTCTCCAGCCCTGCAGATAAAGTCTATTTTGCCTAAACTCCTTCAACAACTTCAGGTCAGCCCTCAATCTGTGACAGCACACAGCTCTAGCCTTTCACTTTGGAAACTAATACTTTCAAAATGGATCTTGTGATCCATATCAGAGCTTAAATATCAGAGCTCCATATGAGAGCTTTAAACATGTTTGTTGAAACATTTTAACTAGAATAAAATAATAGACTTCTTAAAATTCAGTGAAACCTAGAATGATTAAGCTTGGAAGAGGCTTATGCCCCAAGAAAGCAGGTTTTTGTTAAATGTTTCACACATAAAACAGTCTTTAAAAGATGTTTCCTTCAGCCAGCAGTTTCACTGAGTAGTTTTTCAGAGTCTGCTATAAACTTTTCACAGCTTGGCTGTGGGATTTACCAGCATGCCCAGCTGGATGGCCAGCACAGCCACCCTGGCCTTCTGCTCTGGTTCTTGCTCAGCCTCCCGCAGTGCCTTGGCTCCTCTTGCATGACCCATGTGCCCCAGGCAAATTTTGGCAACATCAAGCCTCTGAGTCTTCACACACATGCGAGCCATGTTCTCCCAGACAGCCTCACTGCAGGAAATGGGAAAGAAAAGGAGAGCTGTTACTGTGTCACCTGGAAGGCAGGTGAGGTGTGAAAGGGGAAACCATCCATATGTTGGGAATGGGGTGACAGTAACAGAGACTGCAGGAGCTGTGTGAAGACTGAAGAAGAACAGAAGCAGGCTCATACACAAAGGTCAGTTCTTGAGCTAAATGACACTAACCTTAAGGAAATAGTGTGGAGTTTGATTTACACCAATGTCTAAACAACAGCAGATATACCTCTACTCTGGAGACAGGCTGAGAGAGCTGGAGAAGAGAAGGCTTTGAGGAGAACTTAAGAGCTACTTCTTATGCCAAAAGGAGCTCCAGGAGAGCTGGAGAGGGAGTTGGGACAAGGGCCTGGAGGGACAGGACAAGGGGGAATGGCTTTAAATTGAAGAAGGGGAGATTCAGATTGGAAGAAATTCTTCCCTGTGAGGTTGGTGAGGCCCTGGCACAGGCTGCCCAGAGAAGTCTTGGCTGCCCCATCTCTGGAAGTGTTCAAGGGGCTTGGAGCAACCTAGGAACAGTGGAAGGTGTCCCTTCCCAAAGCAGGGGTGGGTTGAACAAGATGGTCTTTAAGGTCCCTTCCAACCCAAATCAGTCCATAATTCTGTGTTTGCACAAATATAAACATTTATCATGTGCCCATCCTGCTGTAACTGCAACCTATAGACAGTCACAGTTCCCACACTGATGTTCAGAAATCAAAATTAAAATTATGAGAAAAGTCTTAACCTCACACTGGAAATCTCCTGCTGCAGTCTGGAATAGTTTAAATACTGAGAAACTATTGAGAGCCCAATTGTTGTACTCAGTAATAGGGAATAATGTGTAGAAAAATTACCAAACAACCATGTTCTAATTTAAAACTTGTATACAACAGGCAAAAAGAAAAGCTTTGTGGTGCTCCGAACAAGAACTCTTCGGGGCTATGAGCTCGCAGTTAACACTGCAAAGTCCCCTGCCCAGGCAAGGCAGGAAGGGCTGAGGACCATGCTCTCAGCAGAATTGCTCAGCAGAAGGGCCACAACAGAACTGACCATCACAGGGTGGGACAAGCAAAGATTTTCATAGATTCTATTCACATTTGAGGCTCTTCAGAATTTCATGCAATATGTTTGACTAATAAAAACCATGAGCATCCAAAATGTTACCCTCAGCAGAGGTACAGTCTATGCAGTTCTCAGGCACCGACACAGCACAAAGTAAACATCTAAATTTTAAAAGCAGGGAAAAAATAAGAAAATAATAGAAGAGAATGATACTTTACGACCTGCCACCAAATTACCTTCCAGTTTTCCTATGATTAAAATGTTTTTCTGTTTCCAGTGGCTGTAGGAAAGCCCTGCACAAACAGGAGAAAGTGACTAACTGGGAAGCGACAGAACAAGTGAACCACGACCTGCTCTTCAACACATACACTAAGAAAAGGCACACGAAAAATCCTTTGCATAATTTACTTTAGAATTAGATCATCTTTTACTTGTAGTGCAACTCTTATAAAGGTTTCAAGTAGTGATCAACATGAATAAGTGATACAGACTTCACTGAGGACAAATGGTATAGAGAAATAAAAAAAGGAAGAGAAGTGATAAATCGGGGACAAATTTCAGAAAGATCAGAAGTGTTTCTGGTTTAGAAAAGCAAAGATGCATGTCTGAGTGCCACCCTTCTTACAACTGAGTGGTATTCAAACACAGCTTCCCAATGCTCTTCTCCTGTATGTCCAAGCTCCCCAGCTGAGAAGTCAAAAGGAACATTGAAATAAAGCATGGTAATTTCAGACCTGGAAGGGCCTGACAGAAAGCAGTGCCAGATCCTTCCATGCATCACCAGTCAATACAGAAATGCTGCCTTGTGTCAGCAGATGTGACCTTCCTAATTTCTGAAAAGTTGGAATAGTTTTCTCTTTTATTCCAGACACTATCTGTATCTGGAATTTGGAAAACTAGGAAACACACCTTTAAAGAACATTGACATGCTCAGTGTGATGTTAGTTATGTTAACCTGGTTTTGAACAACACAGCCAGGTCTGTCCTTAGGAAGAGCTGCTCAAAGCTCATAGGCAGTGCCTGGGTACAGCTGTGCTACACAGCACTTGAAAAGTAAATTTTCCAAGCTCTGCAGCATGCCAGAAGAAGCTGCCAACAGCCAGCTGGCTCTGGGTGAAAGAACGCACGTCTGTACTGGGCTTTGTCAAGCTGACTAACAGTGAGTTTCAGAAAGGAAATCAAAGTCTTTATTTTGCAGGGCTCTGACAGCTCTCAACTCCCTCCATGCAGGAAGATGAGAGTTCATGGGCTCAAACAGGCGAGCGGATGAGATTCTTATTTAGACTACAGGGAGTGGAAACTTTTGAGAGGAAACAGACTACACAGTGTATTTTAAAGTACAAAGTTAAAAGATAACAGTGTGCAAAGAGTCACAGCAGGATTTAGGAGATGTTGCTCATCATCTCTCAGCTGTGTTATGCTTTCTTGGATGGCAACAGCTCCTGCCAATGTCAAAATTCAGCAGGAGCTGCTGCCTTTAGGACACCTCTTTGGGAGCTCTTGCCCCCCATGCACCATGCCTGTGGACCACATGGCACCCAGGTACATGGGCCCTGAGGAGCTGGAGTTCTGCCATCCCACCTCTTACCCCTCCACTCCAAACCATTTGCAAAATGAACCCGAGAGGTTTGAGCCATGGGTACACCGACAACAAACGCAGAGGGAGAAACATCTGCAGTGGATGTGCTCTGCAGTTGGTTTTATTCTAGCAGGCACTGCCTTCTGCCGCCCCAGCTGGGCAGGGGGTGGGCACACCAGGCTCAAACTGCACCAAAGACACTGAATTTAACAGTGTTCATGGCAGAGCACAGCTTGCATGGACTCACGCAGTACAGAGACCACAGCAAGAGATAAGAGGGATACCAAAGAAAGGTGTCCCTGCCCATGGCAGAGAGTTGGTGCCAGATGGTCCTTAAGGTCCTTTCCAACCCAAATCATTCCATGATTCTAAGATTCTGAGAGACATGATCAGGGCAGCTCACCAGCACAAGAACCCATGGCAGGTTCCCCTGACCATCTCTTCTCCTGGGTTCTGCCCTACAGAAACACCTGAAGGAGTGTTTCATCCAAGGAACCCAGCCTTGCTCTATCCAGAGCAGTTCCCATACCTCACTGGGTTTGATTAGCAGCTGCACAGGGCAGAGCAACAGCTATGGTCCCCATGGAACTGCAGCAGAGACTGGTTCTTTCCAGTAGACACATTCTTTACAAGAGGGATGATGCTCTGATAAGGCATGTGGAGAGGAGACGGTAGGGAAGGGGAGGGGATCCTGGGAGCACCCACAATCCGCTTCCATTTCTCTCTGTGTTTCACAAAGACCAACTTCAGCCACAAGATACACAACCTCCCTGGCAGGAACACACCTCCACAGAATCACAGAATCACTAGATTGGAAGAGACCTTCAAGATCATCAAGTCCAACCAATGCCCTAATACCTCAAATAAACCATGGCACCAAGTGCCATATCCAATCTATTTTTTAAACACATCCAGGGATGGTGACTCCACCACCTCCCCAGGCAGACCGTTCCAGTATTTTATTACTCTTTCCATGAAGAACTTTTTCCTGACCTCCAACCTAAATTTCCCTTGGCACAACTTGAGACTGTATCCTTTCATTCTGTCCGTTGCTGAAAGGAGGTTGTAGAGAGTGATAAAGTCACCTCTGAGTCTCAAGTTTTGCTGCCCCTCAGAAATGCAGACAGATGGATGTGGGTCTGGTGAAGGAACAAGAAACAGGAGGTGCAGAACAGGTTCACTTAAAGCCCACGGAAATACACAGTTTATCTCCCAGTAGCTGCCAGTGCAGTAAGAAAGCTGAAACTGTTGAAGCATCCCTAAAAGGCAGCAACTCTCCAGGCCTGGCTCCACTGTCCATATAAAATGCCAAGTAATATTTTTCCCTGCCCCCAACTCTTACTCCAGGAATTTCCTGTTCTTCCCCTCCTCCTCCTTTCATCCCCACTGGAAAGCCTCTCACATCTGTACCTCATCAGCTGAAGCTGGAAACTTAATGAAGCCCAGGCACAGCAGCAGTGGGAGCAGAGCCATGGGAAGGCATCCCAAGCACCCAGGGAGCCCCAAGCCCCCCCACCAGGCACAGGGATACACCATCTACTGCTGCACCCTGTGCTCCCAGGCTTCAGGCCACATCCATAGTGCCAGGGATTTGGGAAGCAAATGGTGACGCCTGTTAAGAGTGGGCACAAATCTTACCACATATTTGATGAAAGTTTCCTTGCTTTGTGTCTGACCTTTCACATCTGTTTTTCTGTGGAACTGTGTTTACAGCATCCACAGTCTGATCTCACAAACCCTTCTGTTCCCATATATTTTACATTGCCTATTTAGCACAAAAGTTTAAAGAAAACGTTGACTATTATTTAGAAGTGTTGGAGATTTATATGTCTGAGGCATTTCACTGAAAAACCTTTTCTCCCTCTATTTAATGGGCTGTATTTGGAAAATGAACACTGATCAGGATCAGGGTAAAAAAAAAAAAATCTCTTTTCAATTTGGGGCCCACTTTGTTGGGTATCAACTGACCCTATAATATACAAGCTATATATAACAAATTAATATTGCAACCTCTAATGTTATATTATTGATAATCACAGAACCACAGAATAGTTTGGGTAGGAAGGGACATTAAAAAACATCTTGTTCCAAACTCCTGCCAAGGGTAGGGACATTCCACTAGACTGGAAAACTAGGGACTTGAAAAAATTAGGTTTTATCTGATGTAACTAAAATAGGTTTGATGCTTTTAAATTGCATTTATGGGATTTTGGTTATATCTTTCTGTGGGACTAAAAGACAACAAGGAACTAATAGATGAAAAGTTGCAACAGTTCAATGAGACTCTTGATAAAGATATTATATGAGCTAGTCTAAGAAAAGTCAGGCATTTTCATGCCTGATCCAAACGCTGA